GTGAGTGTCTTGATGTTGATGATGGCTGATGCTAACGCAGTTTAGACAGTGATGGTGATATGCGTCAGATACATTTCCCCTTTCTCTCTACGTATATGTTTTTCAGGGTTTAGATGTAAACAGTATTGCTGAATTATATTAAATTATAAAATAAAAATTTATTAAAATTATTATTTTATATTTTTAATGAAAATATTTTTTTTTCTCTAACTAAAACTTTTCATTTTTCCAATTATTAAGGTGACAATTTTTAGTGAAGTGATTATAACTTATAAGGGTTTTATTGTTGCATTTGAACTTTTTTTTTTGTATCGTCAACGTTAAAGACATTTTATTTTTTTGGTAAACAAGGGAAAGAACAATATTAAAGACATATTTAACAACTAATTAACTTCTTAATATTTTAAAGACTTATGTCAACGAACTAAATTGTTTAGTTTTTTTTTTTTGTTAAAAATAAAAGGTTCAAAATTTGAGTCGTATAACATATTAGTGGAGTAAGATAAGAGATAAGAAATAATTATCTCTTATTATATAACTAAAATAAAAAAAATAAAAAACTTCTAAATATAAAACAATCAACTCCAACTCTAACAATGATTGTGGATATCTAATAGGTAATTATCAATCTCTAATGAGTTTAAAAAAATGTAGTTAGGTTTTTTTAAAGGGATGGCCAAGTATTTTATACAAAATTTTTATATATTTCGACTAACATTCAAGAACACACTAAATTTTTAGCGTCCGATACTAACTCTTATTTACCAAAATGTTTACCCATGCTATGTTATTCTCCCAGTCCCATGTACTCCCAAGTCCCATGTGAAGTTTGTTGGTCTGATGGTGTTTGGACGACGAAACGGTGGGACCTACTGGCCTCGATAACGAGATGAGGTGTGGGTCCTCCTGCTGGTTCGCCATGTGTCCCACCTCATTAAAAACATTCAAGCGAGTGGGTCGCTCTGTGGGCCGTTTATTGGAGCCGATTTTTGGACTCTCTAGTTGGAATTTGGAAACATAATGCAGCAACTTGGCAAGCATTTTGAAGGTGGATCCAAGAGCTGCGGAGCCTGGCCCAGATATTTGACAGCCCGCAGAGCCCAAACGCAAAAATGCAAAACTCAGACTTCACGGCTCCAGTCTTGCAGGTCACCACTGCGATCGGAGCTCGGAGGGGCGAAGGAAGGCGAGAGATCAACAGAAGAAAACGGCTTCCGAGGACCGCAATCTTTGCATTTTGAGCTCACCTTCTGTTGATTCGAAGTGCGTGATCTTCCATGGCATCCACCAGCAAGGTCAATTTCTATGAGGAAGAAGAAGAGGACGAAGAAGAGGAAGTATGTTATCAGCTCTACCTTTGAAATTTCCTTTTACTTGATCTCAATAATTCGAGTTGTTAATTAATTTTTTCTGATTTTCAACTGTTGAAGCTTGAACACTTTGATGATTTCACTCTAGCTTCGTCGTGGGAAAGGTATCTGTTAGTTACCATACCATTACTGTATTTCCATACTTCTCTCTTCTTACGATGCATTGATCTGATTCTAATTGTTTCGTCGATTTTAGGTTCATATCGGACATAGAGGCAACTTGTCGACAATGGTTGGCAGATGGTCCGAAAAATCTGCTGGTAATCATTCCTGCGTTCATCGGAAAACTTGTTTGTCATCATTAATGTTGGAATTCCTCAACATGTTATGATTCTCTGTAACTATTCATATTTTTGATTCTGGATCTGCTGATACTGATGGATATATTTTTTTATTCTTTTTTTTTCTTTTAAAAAAAATCTTGCGAAAGCAAGTTGGTACAGCTTTTTTTTTTTTTTTTTCATAATTATCGGTTAATTCCAGTTTAGATTTATGTACTATTTGGTCATAGGCAAAGGGTGCAGTTCAGGTGGATTCCTCAAAGAACATATACAAGGTGAAATCTGATTTGAAAAATATCACAAGGAGTTACTGCATGGAGTATCACTTTGAAATCAACAGCAGTGGTACTTGTGATAAGTTTCTCCTCATTATTCATCTAGCCTGGGATCGAATATGGGTTTTATTTGCCTTGACTTGAGTTCTGATCTGTCCAGGGAAAGTTGTTGACTGGAATTATCCTCTGCATGATTTACAGCTTTGTTTTGGGGTAAAGGACTTCTTGGTATGCCCTGACTCCACATATTGAACCTATTTCATTTTATTTTTAAGCCTTTTGTATAATTTGGTTTATTTCTTTTGTAACTTTTCTGTCTATTATGTGTCATCGCCAGGTGATTTCACCTCAAAGCGCCAGTGGGGTAGTGCTTGATTCCCCAGAGGGCAGCAAGCTTTTAAGTGCAGTTGCAATTGCTCTGACAAATTGTTCAAGGTGGTGTGATTTTCAGTTAGAAATAATTCCATGCAGTGTTTACCAAAGCATCGCAATACATATACCTATTTTATGTATCACATTAATTCCTGCATCAATTTTGATGTTGTTTTAACTCATCAACATGGCATATTTTCTTAATGGTTTACAGAAAACAATTAACTCATCAGCACAACATTTGTTGAATATATGTCTGTCAATGTAATTAGTAACCCCCAATCTGCAATACTTCTTTCTAAAACATTTTTGCGACAGTTTGTGGCCAGCATTTGTTCCAATCCATGATCCATCTAGAAAAGCATATATGGGAATTCAAAATATGGGAACAGTTTTTACTAGAAGGTTTGAGGCAGATCAAATTGGTAGCCAGGTGCCAATTAAATTCATGCATCTGGAAGGATTACATGAGTTGTTTCTTTCTAAGTTTGTAAGTTCTCCTTTTATTTTATGCAAACCTGCAGTTTATGCCATTTGTATGTTTCCATTGTTGCAAGTTAAAATGAGTGTTGCAGTTTTTGATGCTTTGATATGTTCATTTGTTCTTGATCTTCACTGGCCTTTTACCATTCTGCAAATTATCTCAATCTGTAAAGTACAAATTCAATTTGCTGCTATGGTTTTAACCACAGTGGTATGCCAAATACATTATGCTTCTGTAATTATTTTTCTATACCACTGTTTTCACAAATTGTTTTGGCCAGAGTTTTATGTGCATCTGCATTGATTTTTATAATCCTATCATCTCAAAGTAATAACAATTTTCTGTATATTCTTGAAGGCTTACTCCTCGTTGGATCATTCAACACATCTTTTTAAAGTCCATTTTACAATGAAGCTAACCTACAGAACCCTACATTACGATGATGATGATGATATTCAAGGAGCTGATGCTGACAATGTGGGGCCTGGAGCAGACCTAGATGGTCGCAGCAGCAACAAAACCCAATGGGATGATGACTGCCCTTGGAGCGAGTGGTACTCGGCCGAAGATCCAGTGAAAGGTAAGTTTATGTATATGATACTCATCGTGTTTCAATTTTCTCTTCCGAACTAAGTTTTGGTGCTCGGCTTTGTTATAAGATAAGGTAGACTAGTCCTCTAACTCGTCTTGATTTTGAGAGCACTAGTTACCTTATTAGTAATTTGTTCTTGACATGCTAAAATACACCTTTACATTTAAAAGTGGCTCTTTGTCCTTTTAATGTAATATTTCCATTCTCAATGTTCAGAACGGAGTTGGTGTTGCCTTTCCTGGATAACTAACAATATTTCTTCCAAATCTAAGATCATCTCTTGTTTTGGATAGTGATTTGATGATCTAAATGCAAACAGGATTTGATTTAATTGCCACATGGTCAGAGAAGGTGGTTGAAAGCTCCTTGGAAATGGCTGAAATAGAAAATGTTTCACCTCATGATGCTCAGAAGTGGATCCTAAGTCCAAATATTGCCCCAAATCTGTAAGTACTTGTTTTACAGACCATCATAATTTGATTATTTTCTCCTTGTAAGTATTCTTCTCTTGTATTGTTTTTGGGGGCAAATCTCCTTTTGTCATTCCTTTGAATTATTATTGTCTTAATTTCTTATAGTGGGAAACATATGATGATATTAATTTTCTTCTGAATTGACAGTTCAAAAGGAAACAGAATTGGGTTTGCTTCTCAATTGTCCCTTTTGGTTGATGCACTGGAGATGTCCTATGAAGCTCAATTTCTGGAGGATTTTGTTTCAGGTCTGAGCTACTTTCTATGACCATCTTGACATGTTTTCATCTGTGTTTTTATGCTGCAATTTTTGGTAATTAATTGGAATTGTCAATTTGTCATTTCAAATTCTTTAAAGCTTTATTCACAGACCTATTTATCTTCTGGAGCAGTTGAAAATTCTGGTTCAGACACTTTGAAATCTTCTTGGGTTATACCCCCATCTACTGTTGTTGATCGCGTGCTTAAAGATCTCTTTCTTGAAGGTATTCTCTCTTCTTTTTTTCTTCTTTTTTATTCTTTTTTTTCTTTTTCCATTTATTTTGCAATTTGACATTTTTAGACTTCAAGAGTTTTGCCATTTGGCTTCTTTGACACTCTTTAAGAAACGATGTCTTCTTCCTTGTATTAGGAGGTCCAAATTAATTGTGCATGTGAGTTTGCCTTGATTTAACAATCTCAGCTCAACACAGATAACAGTGTTCTATTTAGCTGTTCTTATCATGTATAGATGGAATTGGTATTGGTGGCATATTTTCACTTAACCATTTTTCACTAATATTGATTCTTGCTCTTGTGCTTCCTGCAGGCATGAAACTTCCAGATTTAGCCAAGGGTGACCACATGAATTCTCGAGCCATCAAAGGCTCTCCTCTTCAATCACTTTTTGCACAGTTTTGCTTGCACTCTTTATGGTTTGGCAACTGTAATATACGTGGTATGTGTCAAAATTTGGAAGGCTTTATTTGCATAACTGCACAATATATATATATAAATATATATTGGCAATCTATTAATAGATTGTTTAAAAATCTGATTTGTGAATTATCCATGATACATTATTACCTTAGTTCATGTTTTTAGGTTGAGTTTATTTCATTTTCTTTGACTAGATTTGGGTTTTTTTGTTGTTTTCTTTATAGCTATTGCTGTACTCTGGCTAGAGTTTGTTCGAGAAATTCGTTGGTGTTGGGAAGAGTCACAGCCAGTACCTAAAATGTCATCCGATGTATCTATTGACCTATCAACTTGTTTGATAAACCAGAAACTACAAATGGTAATAAAAACTATCTTCAAGGTTTATTCAGTTGACTTTGTTTCAGATAAGTGATCTGTTGGCAATGGTATATTCAGTTAAGAATTCTGAAAGTATTGAGCTTCTTCACATGGTAGAAGCTTTCCTTGTTGACATTTAATTCAAAAATGCCTTGAGGATCTTACTGCCTTCAAAATTATGTAGTTTTCCTCTGAAAGCAATGTGAGCATGTCAGTGATTTTTGTTTGCCCATTTGCTGTTCAGCTTGCAATTTGCATTGAGAAGAAGCGTGAACTAAATGAAGAATTTGAAGATTGTATTGGAAGTCAAGATGATGCTTTTGATCATGTGGAGGTGATGGCAGTCTTTCACACATTTACACTCTTCTTCTAGAGCTTTTCTTCTTAGATAACAAGTTATTATTTTATTTGATGAAAATGCAGGAACAGGGTCGAGTTGGTGAGAGGTCAACTGATTTGCGTCCATCCAGTAAAGACTCTGTTGCAGAATGTAACAGGTGAACTAAACAAGTGAGACCTCTTTGGTTTCTTCATTAGAAGCTTGCTGTACAAGAAATAATAAATAAATAAATAAATACTGGCCATGCTTTGGTCACACTGTACCCATTTATCTGATTATTCCGATTTATTTGCTTAGGTCAATTCATTATCTACTGCTTTGTGCCAGTGATTGCTCATGATGTACCTTAAACTGGAATTCTTGGCAAGAACATGATTGAGATGAGTCTCTTTCATTTTTCATGCAGCCACTTGACGTCTGATGGTTTCCATGAATCTAAAGTAATAATGTCAAGGTTTAGTACGAACCATGAAGACATTCCTTCTGCTGATCCAGAACCTTCGAATTCTCTCAGGAGAGGCTCAGCTGGTCCAGTGGGGTCTATGAAGCTTCTGAAGTCATATCAGAGCTTGCATGCCCCATTCACCCAGGTTTTTCTTTTTGCTTGTTTTAATTTTTTTTTTTAAA